TTTCCTGTACTCAGAAGCCATTTCTTACAGTCAGTCAGATGCCAGGGCTGTGTTTGCACCATAGGGACACTTTGGTTAATGTTAATTTTGGTCAGCGTTCTTGTGGCTTAGGGTAATAGATGAACCCAAATGGTTTGGCTCAGTGCTTTAGGCGAGCCTAGAAAAAGATCCAATAACCAGGTTAGGAGTGTTGTGTGAATGCTATCATTTGCTATAACTCAGTTCCCACTGATTATTGGCTCACGCTGACGGATTCCAACAATGACTTGTTATTTCTCTCCTGCTAGTAAATTGTCCCTCATCAAGAGGCTGAAATCTGTGGGCTGAGGAACAGGAACAGGTTGTCATTACAGGTAGTCCTCACTTAACAACCATTCTCTTAACGGCCATTTGAAGTTACAATGGTGCTGAACAAAGGGACTTACAACTGGTCCTCACACTTAAAACCGTCACAGTATTCCCACGATCATGTGATCGCGATTCAGGCACTTGGCAATCAGCTCACACAACAGTTGCAGCATCCTGGGGATCATGTGATTGCCATTTGTGACCTTCCCAGCCGGCTTCCAGCAAGCGAAATCAATGGGGAACTGCATGATTCCCTTAACAACTGCATGATTCGCTTAATGGCCACTGCAAAAAATTCCCATGGCTGGCTGGGGAATTCTGGGAGTTGAAGTCCACCCATCTTAAACCTGCCGAGGTTGAGAAACACTGATTTAGAGTCTCTCCTTGTACCTCCTGGAGTCTCTGCTGAACACTGAACACTGGTGGAATAATGTATCACCATTTGGAGACACAAGGCTGAGAAAATTGGAAGGGAAATCATACAGTTTAACTTTTAACAAACTAAGCACCCCTGAACTTCCACACACACACAAACTCAAGGAAAAATGGCCTGTAGGTTCCTCAATATGTTACATGTAGTCTCTGGTCCATGAAAAGCTGTTCATCCTCACCCCTGCTCCAGTTCCTAGCTCTAAAGTAAATATTCCTGAGCTCATCTGTGTAGTTTTCTCAATACTAATCTTCAGTACAGAAAGATTTTTGTCTTCTCAGTTAAGTCTATAGTGCTGACCTTTTCTAGTGGTCTCCCACCCAAGTATTAGCAAAACCCACCCCTGCTTAGCTTCCAAACCCAGACAGGGTCAGCCATGTGCTACTACCACCTGTGGATGCAGTTCCTAATTAATCCCCAGAGAGAACAAGAATAAAACTTGGTCTGCATCTAAAGGGAAAGAGATGAAGACATGGGTAGCAAGAGATTAGAGAAGATCGGAAAGTATTCGAAGCTTTATTTTCCCAAGGAAACAGGTGGCTCAAATTTTCTTAAGTAGTGAGTAGTGAGTATAACCGAAAAAGCAGTGGGGAGAGAGTGATGGGTGCCCATGTATGAAGGAACTGGGATCTTCTGGATCAGTCTTTTTCAAACTTGGCCACTTTAAGATGTATGGACTTCAATTCCCAGAATTCCCCAGCCAGATAGCTGGCTGGGGAATTCTGGGAGTTGAAGTCCACA